ATATGTATATATATATATATATCCATTTACTCCAAGAGTAAGTTTTGGTAGACATACTTCATTTAATAATTCATGTTTTAAATCAAATTTTAGCGATTCAACCATTGAATTTAAAGTTCTTAATGTATAGATAAGTCTGCAATTTAAAAAAAATAATAATCATTTAATACTTTGTTTCATTAATTCAAATTGACGAATAATTATAAAAATATTTTATACATTAATTAATATATATATATATATATATATATATATATGTATATTCACACCCTTACATGCATGTATGTATATAATGGATTATAATATTTTTTTAATGTCTATACTTTCATTTACTTTATCTTTTAATTCCTATAATTTTAAATAGATTTTTTTAATTTTTATACTTATATTTTTTAATCATTTTTAATTCTTATAATTTGAGATAAATCTTTTTAATTTTTATATACTTACAATTTTTTTTATCTCTTTAGTCTTTATTGCTAATTTTTTTTTGCAATATTATCTATTTTACATTCATGTTGTAAAGATCTCTAATTTTATAAAGGTAAAATATGTTTCAACAAGTAACTCCTGTAAAATAAATTTGATATCATCAAGATTGAGTCATGACAGCTATCAAAGTGTAGAAAATATTGGACGGATCAATGGGAATGGTAACGGTAGTTTCTTTCAAGGAAATAATGTTAAGTTTGTTAAAAGATGGATATAATTAAGTTTATATATATTGAATTTATGCCAACCTAATTTTATGTAGTTTGATTGTACAAACTTGTCTCTAATAACCTAGCTTTGAGATATTGTATGTTTTGGATCCAAATTCTCATGATTTTTATTTTTGGACATCACCCAAAAGACCTTCAACCAATGAAGATAATTGTGTGTATATAAACTCATGTTCATCCTCTTGTTTGAATGATGTGGGACTTTGTTTGCATCCCAACAATCCTCCCCTCAAACAAAGGACCACGGTTTACCCCCTCTCCTACAGCAGAAATTACGAGTATTATCCGATGGTGGCCCACAAAGCTCATGCTCTGAGTGTTAGCACCGCCACTCCATCATGATCTCATGACAGCGGGACACGCCCTCCTAACCCTCCATGTTACCAGGAAACCTCTCTTCCACATGGACCCACCGTTAGGAAGACTTTTGACACAAGGGATCCAAGATTAGGAAAAATATATAATCCACGAAGGTATTACATGCAGATAAAATTTCGTAGAAAAATTTGTAATTATTAGTGAAAATAATTAATAATTTTACACCGCAACAACTGCAATCCGCATCGCAATACCCTGCAACCACAATAATCCCAACCGCGACCGCAATCGCAATTTAAAACCATGTTTGGAGTGCAAGAAAAATAGTACGGATGAAGAGTACTATAGTGAGGTGACTGTCGCACTACTTTCCTAAGAGTAGCATAACAGCTTTCAACAGACCAACCGAAACAAACGTACGTTATACTTTCTATGGTGGCAAAGATTCGAGCATCCAACGGCAAATTGGTATAACGGTGGAGGGCCCTGCGAAACAACTTTTTCTGCATTCAATACAACCGGAATTCGGAAACCTACCATGTTTGAGTCTGATAATGACAATGATTCAGCGAAGACTTACCGGTACCATCAAGTTTTTTCGGGCGAATATATGGAACAAATAATGTCACTCAAAGAAGCATGGTAGTGGTAGCAACCGGCAAAATTCAACAAGTGTTATGAGGAATGGTAACGGTGGTTACCGGTAAAATGGAACAAGTATATTGCCAATAATGGATTGTTCATGGGGAATGGTAATGGTAGTATCATTTACTGCGAAAATTATTATGGTTATGCACTGAAGACAGCAACAATATTGGAGGAAGAAAATTAATTAACTAGGTGGTGTATTTTTATTTTTTATTTTTAGTGTAATGAACCCAGCTGGTTGTATTATGAACAAATATGTCTAACTTGGAAGTTGGAAATCTTGTTCATTTGTGTCGAAATAATTATTGTAATCTTCATAATATTTATAGAGTGAGAACTATTTCTTTCTGAACTTTCAAGATCGGTTATATAACAACCGATTTTAAAAGTCAAGACTTTTAAGATCGGTTATAAATCAACCGATCTTAAAAGTCTACTTTTAAAATCGGTTGATAACCGATCTTAAAAGTCTACTTTTAAAATCGGTTGATAACCGATCTTAAAAGTCTACCTTTTCAAAATCGGCTCTTTTAAGATCGGTTCCATAACCGATTTTAAAAGTCCAAAATAACCGATTTTAAAAGTCTTTTTTCCACTAGTGGAAATGCAAGCAACTTTTTTTTTATTTTCTATAAAATACTTTTGAGATTTTCTATTATTTTTTATATTTTTATTCCACAATAAATACATATTAATAGTAAATATACATACTTTGATTTCTTTTACGTAATATCTTAGATTTAAGTAGTGTGTATGAAAAAATAAATAAGTAAACTCACTTGGAGAGCTAACCTCACTATATCGTGGATCTTCTCGACTCAAATGGGAGAATCAAACAAAAGCAACACAATGAATGCATGGAACCATTCAATAAAAGAACAGTGTTGGGAAAGTTATGTTGGAGAATTAGATACCGCCTAAATTAATTAATTAATTCTTTTTCTCCTTCAAATAAACCTAAATTAATTAATTTGCGTAAGATTAACGCTTCCTTCATGTTTGTATCTGAAGAATCTATAGTCTGTGTATTTATATATGCTTCCCATACGAACCCAACAATGCATGGAAGGGTAGAGAAGACCATTTGATTATTTCTAGCGAAGTGATCAAGTAGAGATATATAGTTAGTCTTCACGTTCATCGAATAATAATCACCATTTACATAGTCGATTTGCACGTGCTGCAGGTACGGCTTAATTAATTTACTTTTACATAGAATTTCATTCTAATTTTGTTGATTATTTCTTTACTTTTTATACGGCATTAACTTTTCTAGAGTTTTATTTTAGACTGATTGATTGCACTCCTGGTCTGTGATGTTACATGTTCTAATAAGTGAGCTACATATTCTGCTAATGACTTAATAATTCACAACAACAACAACAAAAAAACGCTATTATACGTGAGGAAATAGAAGTAGTCCTAGCACTCTACGTTTTCAAAAATGGAAATTATATTTATTCTTATCATTAACAGCTGGGGAAGACTGTTTGTGATATTAAATTGGACAAGCCAGTCTATTTACGATTGACTTGAAGAAAAAAGATTGAGCGTGGGACAAAACCAAAGAGACTTCCTGAGAAGAGATTTGTAAACTTTACATAGAGTATTTCCGTAGATAATTTTATTGGAATACAAAAAAAAGTTTCACATCGATAAAATAAAAAAATATATATATATTTATAATATATATATATATATATATTATTAATAAGAGACCTTTTGAGTGATGACTAAAAATAAGTTCAACTATTTTCCTAGTTTGATGAGTGAATCTTATAGTTAAATTCCCTTTTATCTTTATACTCAAGGATCGGTCTGTATTTGTCTGAGAAAAACTTTTGCACTCCTCCATTTGGGGAGTCTCACACCCCATAAAAATTGTCTACCTTAGATTGTTTCTTGGACATGCCAATCTATTTACGATTGATTTGAAGAAAAAGGTCTAGTATGGGACAAAACCAAAGAGACTTTGATTTGAAGAAAAAGGTCTAGCATGGGACAAAACCAAAGAGACTTCGTGAGAAGAGGTTTGTAAACTCTACATAGAGTATTTCGATAGATAATTTTACTAGAATATAAAGAAAGATTTCACATCGATAAAATAAAAAAATAAAAAATATTTATAAAATATACATATATTTCATTAGTAAGGGACTTTTTGAGTGATGATTAAAAATAAGATCAATTATCGTCCCAATTTGATGAGTGAATCTTGCAGTCAAATTCCCTTCTACCTTTACACTCAAGAGTTAGTCTCTATTTATCCCAGAAAAACCTTTGCACTCCTCCGTTTGGGGAGTCTCACACCCCATAAAAATTGTCTGCCTGAGATTGTTCCTTGGCCTATATAGGTTTTGGTACAGGATTAGAATTTTAACTATTTCAAATTGGTATCTCACTGATAATTCTACTCCCCTCCCCCTTACCTAAGTTGCACAGGAAAAGGTCAAATTTAATTCCAAAAATAGTGAAGCTTCATAGGAGTTTTTTGTCCAACTATAGGTATATGTAATCATAAAAGTTTAAGTTTAAAACAAATAATATCTTATCAATATAAAGTTATGTGTAGAATAACCAATAAACAATAAAGATATATAACATTTTCTATATAAATATATCACCCTCGATAAATACAAACCCAATGACTCAAACAAAGTTTTAGACATGCAAGAGCCTCATCGATGCAAACCCAATAACTCAAACAAAGTTTTAGACATGCAAGAGCCTCATCGAGTCATCGTCACGGCTCCTTCCAACCTCTCTATCTTTTGCTACTTTTTCTTTAGCATTTCATCACTTACTTTTCTCTTTTTTATTTATTTTTTTTAGCTGTTTCTAATTTACAGTTTTTTATATAATAAAAGAGAGATAAGAAGGGTGGTGAGAAAAATAAGAGGTTGGTTTAAGAAAGAGAAGACATAACGAGTACAAGATGTGAACAAAGCTCATCACCCACCAAAGTTTAGTTATTGTAGCCAAAACAACCACATATCCTACTTTCTATGTTGTTTATGATTCTAAATCTTTGCATCATCTTAATGTTTTACATGTTAGTTTGGTCTTTTGGATTCTCCGTTTTTGTTCTTATAGTTTTTTTTTTCCCTTCAGTTTAATGAGTTCTATTAAGTTTTTTGTTCTATTAAGACTGTCTTCATTGGTTTGATGAAATCAATTTTATAAGACTTTAGTCTTGATAATTTGGATTTTCATATATGTGTGTGTTTAGTTTTCTATACAAGTGTTGAATAGTGTGGGATCGTAAATGTAATTAAGGTATAGATAAGGATATACATAAAGAGAAATTCAAGAGAAATCGGTTAAAGAGAATAAAAAATTGTGGAAAAAAGATGTTATGTTTTGGTAAAGATTCGATCTTATTTTAATTTTTCATATTTTTTCATATTGTGAAAGTTCTATCTCTTTCTTCTCTAGTGAAAGTATACAAATTAGTTGAATGACACAGATTAATCGTAGTATTCTCTACTCTTTTTCTTTCATTCTGCCATTGCTTTTTATTTTTTTTCATAATCACGTTTTGCATTTTACTTTTTACATTTTCATAGGATGCTATGCGTTTTTGTGTTTCTTGAATTGTTCTTGTTATTGTGTTGGATCAACAATATATTTTTATACAACTACATCACACGTATTCTATTTAAACTCTCAAACGTGCAGGTATATTGTCGAAAATTAAATATATGGGAAACAGTCATGGCGGGGTTCGCCTTCTCGGAAACAGAGATGGACCTTACCATGTTCAACTGGCCAAATCGACTACCATCAACTCGAAAGGAGAGATTAAGTGGGAAGATGATGGAAAAATGATCCAGACATCAGAAATCTCGTACGCCATTGATGGATTAACTTGTACACTCTCCATGAAGAAAACCACCGAAACAAATTCAGATGAGACGTTAGAGATCGCAGTCAAAGACATTTTGCATCAATCTCTTCATGATGGTAAACAAATACAATATTCGCAGATATTTTTTGATAAGGTGACAAAAAGAGCTGGTGTAGATCTTACTTTAAAATGTACGTGTAGTCAAACATATCCAGTAAGTACCCTTAAAACGCATTCCTTATGTTGCCCTATATCAAAACGGACCGATACTAATTCATCAACCAGTGTAACCAGAACTAAGCTTTGCACTTATTGGTATGGAACTAAGAAGGGTATTTTAGTTAGGGAGTGGAAGATGAGGCCAGGGAATTTGAATATTTACATGATGACTTGGGCGCATTATTGTGTTGCTACTAATAGTAACAACGGTTTTTCTATGGTGGCGAAGATGCGTATGCCAGATAATGGCTATTGGGACTTTAAGGTAAATGGACCTACCCTACACCCTTCTCTGGGATTATTTTTCATGATTGAACAAGTTAACAGAACTGGGACTTGGAAGTACACGGCATGCCCTCACTGTGTTATTGCTCAGACTGAGAGGGATCACAGTAGCACATCCGAAAATGAACACAACGATGATGGTGTTCACCGACTACCATTGCAACGTCTAAAATATACATATTAATCCTAGTTTTACACGTTTATAGATAGTTATATATATATATATATATATATATATATATATATTTAAATTGAGAACACAATTGAGTAATAAGAGCAAATACATATAATTAACTTAAAAGGATCTTAAAATATTTACTAAGATATGTACATCATTTTAAACTACTCATATATCTTAAATTATTATTTTTAACATTTATACACATATTATTCTACACGCAATACCTATTCTATATATATATATCTTGTTATTTTACACGACTATTACAATAATATTTACATTGGTGGTGGTGGAAACAAGTTCACAATAGGATTTATATGATTTGCTGGTGGTAAAAAGAAAGTCACGATAATAGGTCCATCTATGGTGGTAGGGTTTTCTTGATCGGGGAAGAAAAAGAACGAAGACAGTGCGATGTCTTGGAATGTGACAGAGTTAGAAGTAGCATCTATTCCCCAATTACTCTCGGGGAAAACGGCAGTGATCACTCCTGTAAAAGGACCTGGGATAGCTGGGAGATCCATCTTTATATATATATATATTAAAATTTTCACAACAAGAAATAAGGAGTGAGAACACTTTTCAAAGAAATATTTATAATCATAAAGCATGAGTAACAATAGTTAATAATAATATATATAAAATTTGAATTACACTTACAGTGACTAGTCAGGATAAATAAGCATTATAATATTAATCAGCGCAAGAATTTTTAATCATAACTTCTTACTCATTTAAATCCCCAAGGTCAAACCTCCAGCTACAAATAATTCAAATTTTATCTTCTATGGCCATAGAGTAATATTTATTTTTAAAATGAGTCAAAGACATTTTAACAAAATTATATTATAATCAATCATAAAACAATCACGCTAAATAAATTTGAGAATTTATCACGATTTTAATAACATATACGTAAATAAAATATATTAAGAGTAATTAAATAACATGTAAATAAAATATTTTAAGAGCACCAATTAATTAAATGACAATGATACTTATTATAAAATAATTAAACAATATAAAATATGAACATATTAAGAATTATTATCGTTAAAAATAATCATAAAATAATTGCAAGTAAATGAGGTTAGGTGTAATATTCTAAATTTGTGATACAACATTATTAATATTATATATATATATAAATATATATATATTCTTAAAATAATACTTCTTTTAAATTTCAATTACCTTATTTAAAATAAATAAAATGGTTGTATTATTATTTTTAGAATTAGTTATAATTCATATTTTTAGAATAATATTTTAATTATTAAATATATATAACTATATA